GGTCAGATGATTGCCTGTTGTATTGCTTTGGACGCCTTTGAGGCGGGAGACGAGGCCAACTTATTGAGGCGCATAGTGCATGTTCCAAAGTCGATGCATGCATGACTTTAACGTACTGACTACAGGCACCAAATGCATGCATTATTCACCCTGCCGCGTGCATACGTAATTTCGCCGACTGACGAAAGGCACCAAATGTATGTATGCATTATTCACCCCGCCGCGTTATGCATAACTTCACCGACTGACTAGGGCACCAAATGCATGCCTTTACCGCGCCACGCTGAAGCGATGCCTCATCCCGTCGGCTGGCCGTTTCTAAGCTCTCCGCCGCGTCAGCCTGCCGCCGATCGCGTTTTTGTCCGTAGATGACGTCACTGGCGACTGATGACGTCACGCGCCCGTGCGGTGGGCCGCAGCGCGTCTCCGCCGACTGGCAGCGGCGCGCTGTTTATCGCGCGCCGAATGTCGTCAAACACATCCGGCGCCAAAAATGCCGCGACCCCGCCAAAAAGTCGGCCGCCGGGCCGGCGCTGCCAAAATGGCCGTCGGTGGGGCGGGGCTCCTGGCTGACCCAGCGGGAGGACCGCAGGCGCTGTTACGATTACAGACACGGTGGCGCTCGGCCACTTGGAATTGTCAGAGCAGCGATTGGTCAGCGTTGTTAGGTGTTTGGGTGGGTGCTCGTCTTTACTGGTATGGCCGTTAATGTCCTTAAGTAGGGCATCAACAGCATTACCTCCTATTTTGCGGAAAGTGCCTGCTGGCATCACCGCGCATTTTGGACCTGAGGATGCAGTCATGCAGCAGCGCACGCCCCTGGAACTAAGTTTTATGAAAAACCGCACTGTCCTTTAGTTCGAAACGTGAGGACAACGCAGGCGTGGGGCAGTATTGTTGTGCAATGTGTTCAGGTCCACCCTACACACTACAGTCAAGAGCGGATCGGAGCGGATCACGCTCACTCGATGCCCCCCTCCCCCCGCCACTGCTAGAGATGCCCCCCGTCGTCACCGCGGCGGATGAGTCAGCCACGGAGCGGCGGCGGTAGCCCGCGGTGACAGCCGCCGGCCGATCACACGCGGGGGCCGCTCTGGGTACTTCCCGCCGATGTCCTCCGCTGCGGAGGAGCGCCGGATTCTTTTGCCGCCGACTCACCGCCTGGAGGCTGGTCGCTTCTGCGCGGGGCCCCGCGTCTGGGCATGGCTTAAAGGTGCCGCGTGGCCGTCGCTGGTCAGTGGTGAAGTGTCGTGGGCTCGCTCTGAACCTTAGCGGCGGGGGCTCGGCACACGCTTCGGCGACGTGGGCTCGCTTCGTGCGCTCGGCACGGGACTCGTCGGGTCGCACCCAGGCTGTTCAGGTGGGATTCTACAGGCGGTGCGGCACGCCAGGGGTGTGGGCTCCTATTCGGTTTGGAGGGGGTGGGACCTCAGCCAACAGAACTTTGAGCGGTCAGTGGGCCAAAGCCGTGGAAAGGCCAATTTTTAATGGGTTTCGTGGTGTGTTCAGTTATTTTTCCCTGCTCAGTCCCCGCAAACTTATTTTGCAAAAACACATTTTTGTGGCGTGACCTCTGTGTTGTTGGCGACCGCTGCAACACTTCAAAATACGCCGACCTGAATTGTTGCAGTTTGGTGTCTGGGGACACGCCGACCTGCGTTGCTGCAGTTTGGTGTCTGGGGAGGGAAGCTGGGAAAGGGCAGAGGTGAGGAGGGCGATGATGTTTGCGAGGAGAATGTTCTTAGAACGAATAGATTGTCTGATCTTATATGCACGATAATGACGTGGCGGGATTGATCCATGCACTGGCTGGGTCATAAGAGCTACTTAAAGCAGAACTGCCTGTGGAATGGAAATGGCACAGGAAGTCAAAGGAACTTGGTGGTTTTTATTTACGCGTGGTTGGACTTTTTTGTATTTATGGAGAGCTATCACAATGTTTGGGCGCCTTCTATATATATATATATATATATATATATATATATATATATATATATATATATATATGTGTGTGTGTGTGTGTGTGTGTGTGTGTGTGTGTGTGTGTGTGTGTGTGTGTGTGTGCGTGTGTGTGTGTGTATGTATATATAAATATTGGAATATTTTGGCAGAATCCATTCTTTTATACATTTTTGATTAAAATAAGATAATAGGTTTAAAAATTATAACTTTATATATATATATATATATATATATATATATATATATATATATTCCTACTTCTCTTCAGACATTTTCCCTTCACTGTTTTTTTAATGAACGAACACTGATGTTGAACGACAGCTAAATACGCATGACCAATGCATGAAATTTAGTTTTGACGCATGCAAGTAGTGCATAATTTTGTCACATAGACAGTGCAACGGTGTTAGTGGTCTCCTTAAGTTAATGCTAGTTTAGTAGTTTAGTTTAGTAGGTCAGTGGTCCTCCTAGAGTTAGTGGTTAGAGTTAGTGGTTTTAGTGGTAGCATTGGCCTCAGGAGTACCGTCCTAGTTGCAGAAGCTGGCGCATCAGCAGACCCAACTACTTCAGGCGCTCTTGCTTACTCAGGTTCCCTTACTCTTACATGAACTCACTCTGCCGGCATCGATGAGCTTCGGTGTCGATGGGCGTCGGTGTCGATGGGCGTCGGTGTCGATGGGCGTCGGTTTCGATGAGCGTCGGTATCGATGGGCGCCGGTGTCGATGGGCGCCGGTGTCGATGAGCGTCGGTGTCGATGGGCGCCGGTGTTGATGAGCGTCGGTGTCGATGGGCGCCGGTGTCGATGAACGTCGGTGTCGATGGGCGTCGGTGTCGATGAGCGTCGGTGTCGATGAGCGTCGGTGTCGATGGGCGCCGGTGTCGAAGGGCGCCGGTGTTGATGAGCGTCGGTGTCGATGGGCGTCGGTGTCGATGGGCGCCGGTGTCGATGGGCGCCGGTGTCGATGAGCGCCGGTGTCGATGGGCGCCGGTGTCGATGAGCGCCGGTGTCGATGGGCGTCGCCTGCTGAATGTAATGCTCGTACAGCTTATACATGAGATCGGATTGTCTGGTGGCATTGAACTCATGATGTGCGGTCGAATGATCGAATGCGTGATAGGGCAAAGATTGTCTGGTGGCATTGAACTCATGATGCGCGGTCGAATGATCGAATGCGTGATGGGGCAAAGATTGTCTGGTGGCATTGACCTCATGATGCGCGGTCGAATGATCGAATGCGTGATAGGGCAAAGATTGTCGGGTGGCATTGAACTCATGATGCGCGGTCGAATGATCGAGTGCATGATAGGGCAAAGATTGTCGGATGGCATTGAACTCATGATGCGCGGTCGAATGATCGAAGGCATGATAGGGCAAAGGCGGACACAGTAGACTGCAAACGCCTGTACAAGTAATGTGGAAATGGAGTACATTGGGTAAGGATCTGGGAATATGTTAGTACTATCTGTCTCGGCTGCTCTGGCAGGTTAAGCCATAGCACTTTTAGCTAAACCTATATCCGATACATCCGAAATAGCTCTTATTTTTAAGTTCAGATAGCATTTTAGGCATGCCAAGCGCAGACGACGACGAAAAACAGGGGGGTCATATAAAACATTCGTTCGTATAATTGTGTCAGGTCAAGAAATTACACCTTCGTAGCAACTGAGTTCAGCCGCCTTTTAACTCTCGCCCTGATAGGGCGGAGGTCGATTCGAACCCCCACCCTATCCCCTAAGTTTTTTTTTGAGGATACCACTCCGGTACGTTGTGCAATGGCGCCCAAACGGCAGTTTCTACTGAGCAGTCATTGCGCGTGTTTTGACATCGCAAGCGTGTTCTTATATTTTCTTATTCCGGAGAAGTGGCGGCCTTTAAAGAACACTGCATGTTGACCTACGGCCTGCGCGGGCAACGGGCGGCAACCGGCTGCACCGCGGGACGCGAGCGGCCAGCCACCACTGTCACATTAACTTGGTCATATATCATAAATGAATGCTCAATTTACCTGAAAATATGCACGATCGTGCTCAGAATTGATCAGGGAGCACGCCTTTGTGGGGTTGATGTCTCCAGGAGCCGTGGTCTTGTATGTATGATGCAATGCTGAAAAGGTGCAACTTTCCGGAAAATGTGTCTTTGACCTGACATATTAGGTTTAATCTGTTACCTTACATCATAAACACTGGTGCCGATCGCGAAAACTTTCGTTGAGACCAAGCCACTGGTGCCTTTACCTTAATCAGTCCGTGTTATGAAACACAGCATATCAGGACGAGAGTTATGATGGGTAGTGGTGAAGTTGTTCGTCCGAAAACTGCCCGTCACTTGTTTGATTTTGGGTTCCTATCGCTTGTGTGTGTGTGGGGAGGGGGGGGGGGGAAGGGAGGGGGGCTGGGCGCGGCGTTGCGGGCTGATCGGGTACTATCTGTTATCCTCGTGACTTCACAATTGGCTGACCGGTGTTCCTTACCACAAAAAGATACAGACATCACGACTTGTGGAGGCGATGCTTAGTAACGAAAAGTGTTTCGTCCGTTGTTCGCGGTTAGCTCAGTTGGTAGAGCGCTGGACTCGTAAACAGGGCACTCCAGCTCGAATCCCAATAATCTTAAAAAGGAATTCAGGACTTGATGCGTTCAGCCCCTCTCAGTGCTCAAAGCATCTGACGATGGGCAGAGAATGAACTGGCCGAACTGTTGTGTAATTGCTAACGCATCAGGCATGAATGGAAATCTGAACAATTATTCCATCTGTCATTCATTCTTTCTGTAACCGTCACTTACTTACGCGGCCACTGGAACTCGGAGACAACTCTAATGAAACGGCTGAAGCGTAGACTTAATTACATCAACCGGTTACACTATCCTTTCTTAACCTGCGGCATTCAAATGCTACGGCAATGCACCGACAAATCTGAGTCATCAGAAATCGACAGGCGTTCTGTCCTGTTCTGGCCTCGCCCGAGGCTTGCCCGTCGGTGACCCTCGCTGACTCCTACCGGCTACTGCTGACCTCTGCTGACCCCCGTGCCCCCAGGGTGGACTTCCTCGTGAGTGGGGGCGACAGAGTAAGCACGAGCTACGAAGTCGTGTACCGAAACCCCGTGCTAAACATGCTCTGGCAACACAGCCGCGTCGACCCGGCCAAGCCGATCGCAGTGGACGACGACAGACGTACATTCGAGACGTTTCTGCGGTAAGTGGATGTGGCAGCCAGTCGTTCTTCCGAGAATGTTTTCCATTTTCCGGATCATAACTATTTTGTCGTTGTAATTGCTGTTCACTCAGCGTAACGTGACGCAAAGTAAATGTCAACGTATTTCTAGTTAAACGGCACGTAGCTATTTACTTACGTATCATTTATTGAAGATGGCGCCCCCGATGATGAACCAAATAAAAGTCCCCGATTTGGCTGATCGTGACGCAGTTCCACTTTTCGATCGCCGCAGAGATGAAAACGCACGTGACGATGGCCATACCACTGCAGCTCTCGTAACGTAAACGCTGCAAGGTTTCATGAATATGGTTGACAGCAATAGCTCGTGAGGCTGTGCTACTTTTCGCTTCAACTGCGGGCGTACTACGCGGCTGCGGTGGTTGGCACGCGGTTGCGGTGGCGACAAGTGGTTGCGCGAGCATTGTGCAAGTGATGACAAACCACACGTCCTCCGCGTGATGCGCGGATGTCTCACATCCACACCGCACACTTGTACTCTGCGTCTGGTCACGCGGTGATTCAACAATGCTTTGCGTTGCATTCTGGTACGGTAGTGGGAATGGCTCTGAGCACCAGCTCATCGTTAGGGTCTATGGCCGGTTCTTCCCAGATGTTTGGAGGAGCTGCGACCAGAGTAAGCCACGAGGCCCAGTCGCACGTAAAAGGCTATCGTATGCAATATCTGACGCATGATTCAGACGCCATTTACATATCAGCCTGCCGCAAGCGCTTGTGCTGGCTCTGTCGCCGTTCAGGTTATTGGGTGGTGTTTCACCGAGATCACCTCCGCGTTATTTGGTGGGATACCGCTTGACGCACTTTGTTGAACGTAGTGGGATACTGTTTGACACACATTGTTGAACGTCAGAGGGCCCCTGGCGTTGTTGGCATTGTCGTGAAGTAGAGAATGATCCTTCAAGGGACTGATCCACATCTGTGTATGGTTTTGATCTGACATTGTCATCTTGAAGATCATTCGGAGCAGCTCACAGCCGCTTCTGAGCTGCACGTCATCAAAATTTGCAGACTTCTTCGTGAAAACTTTTTCGAGGTCACCCAAGCATTCATGACGTCACATCAACGTTATTCAAGTCCTGTCACTCCATTGACCATGTGGCAATTAAGGCCAGCAAAATATTATTTTTGAGTCGCTCATATCAGGCGTGCGCGAGTACGACCTTCAAATAAAACGGCTATCAATTGGCTCTCACTCCACTTTTGCAAGAAACGATGACGCAACCAAACTATTATGCATTGAGGAGCGTGCCTACTAAATGGAGAAATTGTCTTGACTAGAGCAGTCTTTTTACTTAAAAGTCTACCTTCAGTTATAAGCGATATTATTTCATATTATCTAATCCTCGCTTCGGTATTTTGAAATGTGAACACTTCCTTAAAAGGACGTTTACACATTTTTAATACTTTTCACTTATTGATAGATCAGACACGTCCCATTTTCTCAGAGATACCAGTTTTCGGAAAGCCCTCTTTGGATAGCTCGGAATTTCCATTTGACGTAGTCGCTCCGACGGGAAAAATCCCATTGTACACTCTGTCCACAACTAGAAAGTTTTTCCTTTGCTTTGCTTTTTCGTGTGTGTGCGTTACGTAATGTTCGCAGTGCATTAATTCACCAAAATGCTTGTGTTAAAGTGCTTCGAAAGCTTTGAACGCTATCTGGGGACGACGACCTCAAAATTATCAAATTGATCTGCTTAATATCACTTTTTGTTGCTGTAGTGGCACAACTCAGTGGTATTTTCAGACGTAACTGATCCTAAGGTTTTACCATGTATGTTTTGAAATGTCCCAAAGGTGGTACACTCCCTTCATTTGTTGCCAACGACAAACGGGATGACTTGAGGCTACACACGTTTATCGTGAAAGAGAAGAAAAATGTAATGCTCATGCCCCTAGGCCTTCACAAGGAGTGATACATGCTTGCATCCAAAATTACTCGGAATGCCCCAGTACAAGAGTTTGTCCTTATAGAATTCAGGTGGCTTCCGTTGAATTGCCTCTCACCCCAGAAGTTTTGCTGAAACCTTATATTTTTCTAACGAATTCTACCCCTTATAATCCAATGTTTGGGACGGTCTGTGTTTCGGAGCGAATAGCTTCTTGTGATATTTTGCAAAGCGAAGTAATTTTCGTCGAAGGTAAAGTTTTTATACACACACAAGTAGGGTTGCAAAGTTTGCCTTCAAGTGTGTGGAGGGCAATGCAGAATATTTGAGCGGTGTCACGAACGGTTTTTTCTTCAAAATCTGTGCTTTCAATAGTCCGTACGCCCGCACCCAGGTGCCGCTGTCTGACCGTGTCCTCCGTCTGGCCACACACCGCTCTGCGCGTGTTTCACGTGCACGACCGCCATTTTCAGGCACCTGCACGGCGAGGAGGTGAACTTGTCCAACAACGGGCTTACACACCTCATCACGCTGCTGAAGTGCGCGCACAAGTACCAGTGCTACAGGCTGGGCACGGCCATTCTATCCCAGCTATCTCAGCATTGCTGGTAGGTGCTGCCAGCTCTTTCACCATCCAGGCGGCGGAAGCTAGTGTGGGGTCCGACGCGTCTGCTGCTATATATATATATATATATATATATATATATATATATATATATATGGTGTGTGTGTGTGTGTGTGTGTGTGTGTGTGTGTGTGTGTGTGTGTGTGTGTGTGTGTGTGTGTGTGTGTGTGTGTGTGTGTGTGTGTGTGTCATGCATATTTATGAGTATATGTCTGTGTCATGTGAACTGGTGCCATGTGGGCTTATGCCATGTTAACTTGTGTGATGCGGGCCAGTATCATGTAGACTAGCGTCATGTGTACCAGCGTCATGTGGACACGTGCCGCGTTGGTGAGCGCCATGGTACCTGCAAGCCAAAATAATTACGCATGCTCCGCCGCCTCGCTTGTGGTCCAACCTCACCTACCTCAGACCGCTATCAGCCCGACGTGGGGCTTCGTTGAGCCCCTCCCCCTCCCCCGCTCCACCCTTGGCGCGCGCCACTCGCTGCCCTCAGCGGCTCTGTTGCCAATGCCGGTCTGAAATTAAACCCGGAAACTGACAGGCACGATGGAGAAGGCTTTCAGCCCTTGAACGCCCCTGACAGGCCGCAGAGTTTCAGCCACGAGGGGGCCAGGGACACGGCAGGCGGCACCTCAGTCAAAAACCTGATTGCGCTCCGAGTCCAAGGTCTGATGCAATGAGTCCGGGTCCTATAAGAGTCCCGTCTCCATCCAGCTTCCACGTATTGCATGTGCCCGAGTCCGAGCCCGATCATGCGCGGAGTCCGAGTCTCCGCCGCACTGTGAGTCCTGCAGGGGTGCGAGAACTGAAGAGAATGTGCAGGTGCAGAATGTATTTGGAGCACATTTTGCCATGCAGTGTCATACGGTTGGTGCTAGATTTTACTCCAGTGTTGGTTGGAGGCAGGTGCTAAGTTTTAAGAAAGTTAGGGAAGCGTTGTCTGCCGCCCCCTCCCCCCGATTCCGGCACCTTCGTAGTCTGAATCCGTGTCTGGGTGCTAACATATTCAACTTGAATTCATCGGTCTGCTATCGGCATGCACAGAACAACGATGGAAGGTTTTGTATCGGATTGTCTGGAGTGTTTTGTTCGTGCGAAAGAGTTCGTTAGTTTTCCGGAGGACCATCGACTTGAGACGTTGAAAGGAAAGAGTCTCTATTAGCCAAAGAGTTGCAAGGCAAAGGTGAGAGAGGGGTTGGAAGGGCGGCGTCGCACACTCCGAAGTCGTCGTCGTAAACGCTGTCGCGGCTCGCGTCGAGCCGCGCCGGCGGAGTCTGAACGTGGACTGCTCGGCAAGGACCGTGCGTCCCCGCCCGCGTGTACCCATAAACCCATGTGGGTTTATGGGCTCCAGATGGTGGGAACCAATCGGCAGAGAGGCCGCTCACACCCTCGCGGAGACGCCGCCGCCGCGCCGGCAGCGACGGCCCGTTTGCTCGCTAACATATATGTTGTGAACAGCGATTGCCGTGATAGGGATGAACTTGATTTTTAAACTGGTCTAAATTATACGCAACTTTACGTGATGAATGACAAAACCAGTCGTGTGAAACTGCGACCTATTTGTAGTTCTTCAAACTCTCGGAGGGAAGGCAGTGGCAGTGCTGGAGGTGTTCGCTGGGCCAAATACCATCATAGGCCCTTGTTTTAAGCATTCCTCATAGTGTTCTTGCATATATATCCCTAAGTTTAACATGCTTACTGGCATTCACCTTCTCGGTTATTGCCTGAATGTTAAGTTTATCGATTACGCGTCTTATTCCTGTAATTTCCGCAACAACTAGCGAGTAAGAAAACCATGTCCAATTTCTTAGACTATGTAAGATAAGACGTGATTCGTGTTTTAAGCTTGCACAGCCTGCTCAACGCAATTTGAAAGCCAATTGGCACCATTCATATTTGGAAATCCTGCTCACGGACATCAGATCTGGATAGCTGGGGGATAATCTTCTTTGCGGCATTAAATGCTGCCCAGCTTACGGAGTGGCGGGTATGAACAGCATTGCTACGTGTCATGCATGCCTGAATGGTCTCGAGATAGTCTGCACCAAAAAGTCCGCGTTTCTTCGCGGGCGCGTTAAAGCCCACTAGTTTCTTCGTAGCTCAGAAACTAGTGGGCTTTAGGTCTTGAGAAGGGTATGGCTGTAACTGCACCGAATGATCTTCAAGATGGCTATTTCAGTTCAAAACCGTTATCAATGTGGAACAATCCCTTGTTGCGTTATTTTTGCTATGCTCCCAGCGGTCCACGATTTGATTAGTATGTCTTGGCAGTACGCTGGCAAAAAGGCCGTTTTTACGCGTCAGGTGCTATGAATAGGCTTTTTGATATTCTGTTAGATTTGATACTGATGCTATACATAAGTTATCTTATATTGGCTTGCCTTTTCTTGTCTTGGGTTGTCTTGTCTTGTGCGTCCCGTCCCGTCCCGTCCCGTCCCGTCCCGTCCCGTCCCGTCCCGTCCCGTCCCGTCCCGTCCCGTCCCGTCCGTCCCGTCCCGTCCCGTCCCGTCCCGTCCCGTCCCCTGTCCTGTCCTGTCCTGTCCTGTCCTGTCCTGTCCTGTCCCGTCCTGTCCCGTCCTGTCCTGTCCCGTCCTGTCCTGTCCTGCCCAGTTCTGTCCTGCTCAGTCATGTCCCGCCCTGTTCCCTCTCCTGTGCTGTGCTGTGCTGTGCAGTGCTGTCGTGTTATGTCGTGTCGTGTCGTATCGTGTCGTTTCCTGTCATGTCGCAATTGTCCTGTCTGTAGTTAGTACTGTCATGTCGCGTGACACTCGCCGTCGTAAACAAGCCGTCAGTGAGGGTTCATTAGGGGGCCCGTCAGTGAGGGTTCAGTAGGGGGCACATGCCGTTCGTGTCGCCCTATACGGCTGTTCCGGTCCAGACAACGTGCTGCGCGTTTGCTCTGACTCTGACGCAGCCAGCACAGGGTGTTTCACATGTACACCTTCTGACACCGTTCCAGTGCGGAGAGCGTGCTGCACGTGTACAAGGTGCTGCAGCCGCTGCCGGAGCTGCCTGCGAACTCTGACCCAGCAGCGCCCAGCGCACCCCCCGAGACAGACCTGGTGGAGTCTGACCCGGAACAGGCCGAGTTCGCGAAACTCCTGCTGCACACCTTCCAGCGCTGCCTGCAGGTCGGAGATCATAAACAGCGGTCAGGGGGTCATGGGGTGGGTCGCAGTGTGTCAAAGGTTAATGAGGGGACGATGTGGTTTGCGACGGGGGTGGACTTTGGGTCAGAGGTCATGGTGGGGCTAAGAGTAAAGGAGTGGGCCGCGGTGTGTCAAAGTTCAGGCAGGGGACGCTATTGTGACGGAGGTAAGGCCACTGGTCGGCGGTCGTGGTGGGGTTTAGAGGTCCGGACGTTTGTGTATGTGTATGTGTGTGTGTGGGGGGGGGGGGTCATATGAGTCTATTACAGGTGTTATGCTTGTTGTGGTTTTCTCACGGCATTTCAGCTCTTGGTCATTGTTTGAGATGTCGAAACGGATGGCTTGGGTTTCAAGGATCTCAATGGAAAAGTGGTCTGCGCGATTATAAGAGACCCTGTGCTAGATTCGCAACAGCCAACGTTCCTAACGCTGATGTAAGGGGAGAAAAACGTCACACACACTATCCTAGCACAGAAAATCCGACTCCGTAAAATGTTGAATTAGGTTCAAAGCTCGCGCTACCGGCTAGAGGTCACGATATGTCTCAGAGGTCATCTGCGAGAAGGCACTGTGTGGCACGAGATGGCCAGGTTTCATGGTGTATGTAGGATGTCATGTCGTCTGTGCTGGTCACGGTGTCGTACAGCACCGTGGATGTCATGTGATCGTCAAATGGATGTCAGATGGTAGATGTCACCGTGGATGTCAGAGGTAGGACTGTTTGTCAAAGAAGCATGACGTGTGTCAGAAGTCTTGTACGGTGTTAGGGGTCGTGGGGGTGTCAGAGGCACACATGTGCCAGAGGTCATCAAGTGTTTCAGAGGTCATGCGGTATGTCAAAGGCCATGACGTGCGTCAAAAGTGACGATGCACGTCAGAGTTCATGATGTGTGCCAGAGGTCATGAGGTGTGCCAGAGAGCGAAACCCATGTTTGTCAGCGGTCACGACACCTGGACGTCAGTGTGTGTGTGTGCGAGCCAGCGCCAAAGGCGGGGCCGCGAGCGTGACCCTGGCGACAGCGCATGCGCAATTCCCCGTAGCAACAGGGAAGCAGCCCGCGCTTCCCACACCCATCAAACCTCACCCTCCGCCAGGTAATCGATAACAACAGCGTGGAAGTGCTGGCGTCGGACCCGTTGCTGGCGCTGGAGCCACAGCAGGTGCTGGAGCTCGCGCAGCGCGACTCACTGCAGGCGCGCGAGCTGGACATCGGTCGCGCAGTGCTGCGCTGGCTGCGCCACTACTCGCTCAGCTTCCGCCTGGACCCGGAGCAGCGGCGCCAGCTGGTGCTGGGCGCGTTGCGCCTGCTCACCATGTCGCCCAAGGAGCTGAAGAAGCTGGAGCTGGAGCGCGAGGGCGTGCTGACGCGCGAGGAGCTGGAGCGTGTGCTGGAGTTTGCCCACCACGGCACGGCCGTGCTGCCCGAGTCCATAGAGCCGTACCGGGAGTACTGGCTGTGCCGGCGGCGCGGCGGCGCGCGGAGCCGTGGCGTCCTGCAGCGACTGATGGAGCGCACGCGCGGCGGCCACGGCCTGGACGAGCGCGACAGCGTTGAACGCCGTGAGGCGGCGCTGCAGCGGCGCAGCCGGCGCGCCGACAAGGTGAAGATGGCGCTCGCCACTGGCGCCTCGTTCATCTTCGACTAGGGCGCCGCGCAGGGACAGGCGGGAGGGGGCCGGAGACGGCGCGCGGACAGAGGCGTTGTTGTTGCAAGTGGACGGGCGAGATTTTATGGGGAGATGTTCTTTCAGGAGGAGCCTGCGTGCGCAGGCGCCGCAGGATGCGACGAAGTCGCGCACCGACTGCTTTGAACGTTATGCCTGAGGACCTGTGATGTACATTGAGGAGTATCATGTTACTCACTGTGGTCCACTACTCTGCTTTTTTACGTGGCGCGCGACAGGCAGCGCTGTGCCACTCTTAGCTGTGATGTTTACTTTGTGTAGTTGAGGTTAGGAGCAAGTTCCGCGCCAGGTGTGTGTGAAATTGTCCTTTGTTCGTTATCCAGGAAGCCAGCTAGAGCTTATTTTACGTGTAGCACATGTATGGGAATTATGCCAGATTTGGAGGAACTGTGGCATATTCCTTCACGCAGTGATATTTTGATGGAGGGTTTAGAGAGATTGATTTCACCGTCAGCTTGCGCCTATGCCATGCGCAACGTCGGCAGAAATTAAGTTCAATTAAAACCGGTTTAAACTAGTCACTTCACAACACTTGAAGGTTTTTGTAACGCGTAGAATGTTTAGTCTTCCCTGCACTGCTGAAAGGAAATTTTCCGGAAGTCAGAATCGCCTTGCAGTCTTTGAACGTCTCAGTAAGGATTTGTTGTATTTGCACGGATACACATCTGCAACCTGTCTGATGTGAGAGGGCTTCACAGCTCGAACGTTAGGACAATTGGTAAAGTCCCCACTGAGAACTTCTGTTGGCGTGCTGACATCTGGAACATGGTGTTGCTTGCCGAGCGTGCGATATGAACAGGGTATCATGCTAATGCGTAATGGCCTAATGTCAAACGATATGTGCTTGTCGATTGTTTGCCAGCGTTCGACCTTTTCTACCCACGGATTCTCCCGCAGCCCCGCGGTCAGCAAAACTGCTTTCTCGTCGTCTGAATCAAAGCAAGATGTGCCAGGGGTGGTCGCGATTCGACTGGGACAAAACGTCTGGTGAACATTTTATTATCTCAATGGCGGCATTTGGTTCATTCAGCTGCCGTTGGTCGAACCGCTCCCCCCTTCTCCCAGGACGTCCTGGCACTAGCATTAGTACGTAGATGTGTTGCTCTCAGTCCGGGATTATGCAAATGCCCATGTGCGCTGGGGCGTGCACAGAATGTGCAATGTGCAGTGAGGCGTGCACAGAACGTGCAATGCGACGATTCGAGGGGAAGCACCATCTTCGGCCGGGTGAGGCAATTAAGGCGATGTCGTAGCGCACCAGCGACAGTGAGTGGGGCGGTGCACACCGGCAAAATGAACGTTTTATGTGATTTGAATTAACATGTAAAATGAAAAAGACATGGATAACAGAATTTTCTAAATACCTTCGCTGCAGTGAACCTGCGTGTTACCATGCTTATTCGTGATCTAATGCACGCAATACGTCTAAGGGTAATGGCAGACGGAGCTTGGGAGCAATGGACGCTGTAGCTGACATACCACCCATGCTTTAGCTTTGGCTTCAATCCCCTGTCGTCCGTGTATGCTATGTCTCTCGCCAGTTGATTAGTCTGTCCCGTGTCAAACGAGAGCATTTTATCCCGCGGGCCGACTGGCCGATCGTGGTTGCCTACAGCCTGTTTGTATATTCGCTAGCTTGGTATCATGCTTATACCTGACCCTGACACGCTCACAGTCCCTACGCCGTTGCTGTTAGAGCAGGTGGTTTGCGTTTTCATTTTGTGATGGTGACGTAGCGTCGCGCAGCGCGCTTCCGTATGTTTGTATTCGACCGAGTTCTCGTCTTTTGACAGCGTTTCAAGCTTCCGAAACCCAGAACAATTCGCCTTTTATCTTTCGAGCGACGACTCGGACTCGAGGAAGGACCGTTTGCGTTAGAAATGGTGTTGACCCGGTGCCATTATTTCGTGTTAATTTTGTCGGTGGGTTTTATTTTTTTTCAATTAAAAAATAATTTAATTGAACTCATTGCATCAGACCTTATTGGGTTTTATTGCGAAAGTGACCACTACCCGCGTGTCCAGTGGTTCGTTACGTCCGCCGTCTTAAGTCAATACACAAAGCCGATGGCAACAGTCAGTGCACGTTTGCTTCATTTCTTGGGAATGCTACTGGTATGGATGCGAGCAGGTCACATCACGAGAGAGTGTGGCTGCATCATGCAGGTAACCCCTGCACAGGTCACTCCTCAAAGCTACTCGCAGTAATTAAGAAGACGGTCTTGGCTCGGTAATAAATCTGCCAGTTTTTTACATTTGGAATGCCCGCACCCGCCCCGCAGCCAAATTTGAAAGAAATTTGAAAGCCTGTACCCGCCTCGTAAGGCAGGTGTCCCGAAAAGATCCTGCATGCGACCACCCACCTTATTTTTCATTCCAGGTGAACACATTCAACCTTACACTATTATTAACGCCAAAAGAAGAAGTAGCAAGAAACCTTAAGGCATAACCATTTGTTTTTTATTTTTTTGTATGACTGCTCATCAAGATACCTTATATTAATTCCAGGTATGTATACCTGGCCTCATCATGATATAAGGGTCACCACAAGAATTTCCAAACCTCCATGCATTTATTCTTACACCTGGGTTTTATAAACTAAGGTGAGTGGAAGCGTTCTGCTGAGGAACCCACATACATCCTCCTTGGTTTCTAGGTGTGAATCCCCCTTGTCCATAGCAAAGTCCTTTTGGTCCTTCAGAAGGCTTATCAAAAGAAACCAACAGAGAAGAGTCATCAAAAGAAACCAACAATCCATACCTTGAAAGGTAAGAAACTAAACAGCCCAAACCAATTATAAAACGCAAAAACTAAGACTGACTTTACATCTACATTGGTTTATATAATGACGGCAGTCCAAAATATGCATCTATGTAGGCATGCCTCATGTAAACAAAATTTGGCCATCCAAAGCCCGAAGGTGATGGGTACTTCAAACTAATCAAGTTGCCAATTTCACGAGGAACCACTAGTATACAATGCAAAATAGATGGCCTCAGACCTAAAGACATGCCTTGAAAAGGAGATTCAGAAGATCGTTCATGATCATCAGACACCACAATAACACCATTTCCAGTTCCACAGACGGCAGTCCCGAATGGGTACCTGAATGATGACTGGTTATTCTTGCCCACGTCCGGTAACGGGGTTAAGACATTAATTGCAAAAGCTCTCTTTTGATGCCGGATTTATACTCCAATTACCTTTAATGCGGGCGCGCACATGATGCCTTTTCCGACCAGCCTCGCCATCGGCCTGCCGTATTGTCAGAAACGTCAGCTGATTATGGCGGGGCGTCATGACCAATTCTAAATTTTGTGCGGAGACCCTTCTCGATACGTTGAATCCGAAAATTATAGGTTTTGGAGTCGGACTTTGTGTATAACTTCCGAGTCGCAAGACGAGTGACATGCCAGTTTGATATTGCGAGGCGCCTCAACTGCTTCCAAATTTGATGCGCAGGACGTTCTTGGCATGCTGATTCCAAAAAATTACAGGTTTTGGGGCGAAATGTTGCGCAACTTACGAGTAGCAAGGCGCGTCATACCGTCAGATTGCTGTTGGTTGGTTTTTGGTTTTAAGGGCGCGTCGGCATCGGGGCCATTTTGCGCCCACCAGTTTGCTGTTACAGGGCGTTTCAACTGCCTTTAAGTTTGGTGTGCAGTGCCTTTTCAACACGCTGCACACCAAATTTGAAGGCAATCGCGACGCCCCGCAATATCAAACTGACATGTTACGTGTCTTGTAACTTGCAAGTTACGGAAAATCCTGCCCCAAGGCTTATGATTTTCGGAATCAGCGCATCAAGAAGGCCCCGCACATCAAATTTTGAGGCGATCGTGGCGCCCCGCAATATCCAACTAGCAATCAGATATCAGTCTCTGCTAGACTGAAGTACTGCGGACGTCGGATAATATCATTTTCAGGAAAATTTTCGGTTGTGTGATTCACACTTCGACGAAAGGAATTCAGCTAGCTGCCCACTTGACTTCATTCTTCGGTTGCCGTTCGTCAAAGTCACGTTCCGACAGAAGAGGGCAGAAGACTTATTGATAATTTGTTGTTCGTCATTTATCATTTATCATGATAATTTATTTTTTAATCATCCCATTGCCGTTCGTTAAGTCACATTTCGACCAGAAGGCATTAGGTTATTTGACAACTCGGTGATCTTTCATTCATGCATTGTCATTCGCTACAATCCCATTTCGGCGCATTGCAATGGCTAGTTAACTGGTGGCTAGTCAAGGTTTCGACTAGTTTACCTGTCATTAAAAGGCGTGGCGCTATATGCCCTCCGCTGGCTAGCCGCTCATCTTTTTAACACGGAGAAAACCAGTCGTGGCAGGAGCGTAGTTAAAAAATTCTGAAGGAGGGATTTGGAGCTCCGTGAGTACTGAGGAGTGAGTGCTGAGAACGCATCACCTGTTTTGAACTCTCTGCCCGGAATCCTCTGTGGTGAGAAAATAAAAATCAGGGCCTATGGGGAGCGGGCCCCATGGCTACGCCTTATGGTGGCCAAGGCCTTTCGGGTTTTTCACATTTGGTGAAACAACATTTTAAACACGAGCAACTACCGCAGACCCTCCCACGTGTACAAAATGGCCCCGACGCTGACGCGCCTTAAACGTAAAACGAACACCACACTCCCACGGATTATTTCCGATCCTGCTGCCATCTGTCAACGAGTTTTCAAATCACACCGTGCGGCTGCAGCTCGCCGCAGCAGAACAGATGGCTGAGGCTGCCAGCGCCCTGATCATCATTATCAGGCATTCATTGCGTGTCGCTCAATATTTGTAGCGTAATGTTTGATTGGAGCCAATGGGCTTCATATTGTACAATGGAATTGGAGATGCGATAGCGATAAAAATACCGGTAAGGTAGGAAGAGCCCACGAAAGCAAACACTTCCCTCTGTGACACATTGGTGAAGCTCAGACGTGACCACAACACGGCTGCGGGAAGCCACAATGACCGGTGGCGGTCAGTTCCAAGACGAGGCCGTACAGTGCAACAACGCTCGCGAGCCAATCTGGCATTATCTCGCGCTGCCTTTCCGGACGTCTGAGCCAGGGAACGGGGAACCCCCAAGCGGGGGCCGCACCCGACCTCGTCACGCGCAAACAGCGATGCGAGGGGTGGCAGCGACCGAACCGCCACCGGGGCGCAGGGGCCATTTAGGGTTTTGAACGCGCTTATGTGGTCACGGTGTGAAACAAGGTCACTCATGTGCCAACTAAGCGACTCCGAGACCGATGAAATGGGATCCAGGCCCCGTGCCCACGAGGTGACACAGGGCGCGAAATTCACCTTTGGTACTCGGCTGAGACAGCGGGCAGTGGCCACTGGCCTCACGCATACAGTTAGTACTAACTGAGAGGCAAAACATAAGCTCCGATAACGAGTTTGCTGGCGTGCAATGGTGACGAACCTAATTTAAATCTTAGCAAAACAGTATGGAATTGCAGTTTTTGACTCTTGTAGATGTCCTGCTCCCAGGACAAGACATATCTTAACTAACCACGAGCATCATTATGGAAGGCGAGGAGGGGGGTATACACTCTGAGTCGTCAAGATGAGTGTCATATTTTTCGCTGGCTTAGGGTGCCCGGTCGACGATGGCTGGCTTGTTTAAGCTGCCCTTTTCCTGACTGTCCGTGCCGCGCAGAGTATTTCCATATCGTGAGGCCTCGTCCTGGAACCGTTGACGATGTTGTGATGACGTTTTGACTTCACAGAACCGTGCAGTGTCTATGTCGGGATTTTCTTATGTGATATCGTTGATTGTGTTTGCCCCTACGCATTTTGTCCTGATGTGTTTACATTGGCTGCATCATTTTTGCGTTTTATCGCGTGACATCTAGCCCATTGTCTCGAATGAGACATTAAGCCATGCACATAAAATGGTTCGTAATGGATACATGACAATGATGATCATCATACTGATGGCAATTGTCATGCCGTCAGAGCTCTGGTGCTTCACACTGCGATCATGTATTGTGATCTGAAGCCTCGTTCATATATGGTAGCAAGATTGGTAGATATTCTATAGGGTAGGTCAGTCATTTTTTAAACGCCATTCGGATGTAAGCTGTATTTGAAATTTGTCTTCGTTTTCTTACCATACCTCTTTACTATATGGTAACTGAATGAGCTACCAAATCCCAGGATGATGTCAAATGACACGCAATTGCGGCAGTCATTAGTGCCCGGTTTCCGAGTTGTAAACAACGTGCGCTCCGGAACGTGAAAGCTGGTGCCTCAGTCGCGCTTGGGGACAGTCAGTTGTTGTGTAAACGAAATAAGAAAAGGTTCTTTTTTCCATCGTGGAAGTGAACACACCGTCCAGGTAAGTTGTAGTCAAACAGATAGTTCGCCACATCGTCGAAGGAAATAAGCACAGCATTGTGTTAACTCACTGCATCAGTGAATTTGCATGCTTTTTGAAGATGTTTTTTATTATTTTCATGGTCATCATTTCATAGTCATTTTCATGGTCATCAAAGGTGATCTTTCTGTTGGGGATGACCGAATTAAAAACAAATTAGGTATGATGCATCCATTTTCTAACAGTTTTTGAAATGAGTCTTCTAATAAAAATATTCATAGATGGGTCATAATGAAGTTCATAGATCTGGCCTTACACGAATCTTTGGTGGTGGCTTCTCTGACCTCACAAGATTTATCTTTATCAATCACATACCCGCAGATGTCTGGCAGATTGAATTCAGTGCTGCACCACTCCTGGCAGCTCAGTGAACTTTTAAAAATACACGCTTACCTCTCATCATAGCGGTGAAAAACATCGGTCTCTGGCTGATAACACCAAGGAATTTTTCATGCAGAAATTGGAAAATTTGGCACAGATCAGCCTTGCCTGAGTTCAGTGCAAGTGCAAGGTTTGCATAACCAGTCATAGGTGTCTAGTGGAGTGAGGTGATTTTTAGCAGACTGGGCCAAAGTGGTGTACAGCATTGCTGCAGCTAGTATGTGTATTCATAATGGCTCATCCAATTCCTTGTATCCCATTGTTGTTCTATTTATGTGTAAAACTTGTTCTAAATGATTTTTTGTTATTTTAATGACAGGCAATCAATGACCAGCTCTGTCTCTTGCAGGTATTTGACTTAGATGCATCCATATTTTTTCTAACACATAGGCATCATGAGATAACAGTTATGTTATTTGGAGTGTAAGATGATGCAACCATGCTATCTTCTTATAATTGGCAGTGATGTGTGGCTGTGCTCACATCTTATTCAGACTGTTTATTGTAAAAATCCTTGGATAAATCAGTTCATGCCTATTACCCTTCTACTACTTTGATTCTGTCTCATTTTAGAGTTTCACTAAACTGAACCTGCAGATAGTGACATTTTTTGAACCATGCTCTAGGTTATGTTAGCTCTCCTTGTGTTGCAGAGAAAATGTCAATGTCTGTGACAGAGCTCTCGTTGTGTTGCAGAGAAAATGTCAATGTCTGTGACAGTGCTGTGCCCCGGAGGGCGCCGGCAAGTGGTGAAAGTTACACCAAACACCAGCATCCTGCAGATTCTGGAGGAAGCATGTAGCAAGCAGAAGTTGGATGGCAAGCTATTCAACTTGATGTATGTAACACATTTTGTCTTCACCCTGTCATAATCGAATCTTAGTATTGGTAGCTAAGCATTAGCATGCATGGTATCCAGCCCTTGCAAATGTTGCAGAAGCTTCTCACTGGTAGCCACTCCTGCACCAATCATAACATTTACAACTAATTTGCTGTTATCTCTTGGCCTTGCCAGCTTTACATCTTGATAATGGGATGACCTTTGGATCTGATTAATGAGAAGCTAAGATTGAATGATCCTATCTGCTTTTTGGATGGCTTGGCAGTTTCTGCACTGCATGTGACTCAACAGAGGTAACAGATTCCACAGATTCCATTAAGAATTTGGATGACACCATTGCAGTTCCCACCTCTGTGCAGCAGTTAAAGAGCACTTTTTCCTGAATGCTCAAATTGGTTGGCCAAACATGGCATATTGTGTTCCTAAGCTGTTGCATGTTCTCAAAATAGTAAGGCAGCACCAGTAGATGCTTGATATTTTTGTTATCTTGGTACCATAGTCCTTCAATGCTGCAGTGAACCTGTACTCCACAGTATCAAGGCACAGCAGCAGTATTGTTGTTGGCTCTACAGTACCCCTGTGGTGATGAATATGCTGCTGTACTTAAAGCGCCAGATGACACTTTTCTTAGGCCTGTGATGGTAGTGTTGTTAGTGGATGCTCAGACTAACTGACATGCAGAACTCTGTTCATGGTACCCTTACAGCCATATGGGTGTGTATGTCCTGTTTACTGCTCACTGGATACCCACCACAGGGATGAGGGCGGGCGTCTGGCCTTATAGCCAAATCCGAAGCCAAAACTTTCATGTAAAGATGATGCCAAAGCCAAAGCTAGCGAATGCAAAGCTTGTAACCACAAAGCTGAATCCGAAGTAAATGCCTTTGAACTCGGTGCACGCGAAGCCAAAGCCGGCAGCTTTGGAGTTAGGAAACGTGAATTCGAAGCCATGTCGATCTGTTCAAAATCGCTAGGCCGAACTGGAGCTGAATTTAACGTGCAGCGTTGCTTTGTGGAACTAAGACAATCTTGTATTAGCTGAAGATACATGCGATAAGGAAGTAGCATGGTTTGGCATGGAGATAGAGACAAGATGTGGGCATTACAGGTGAAAGATCTGTCGGACTTGCGATCTCATCTGGCAGGGTAGCATGTACAGAGCGTTCGATCATTTATTTTTCCGGCCGTCGTTGGGCGTTGCGTGGTGTTGAGAATTTCCGGTTGGTTTTGGTTGGTTGAGATGTTGGTGTCCAGCTGGCTTTAGCTTTCAGCCATGCGTGCATCCCTGCGTTGAAAAGCTGTGTGATATATTAGGGTGTCAGGATGGGCAGGACTATAATTACGAAGTGAAGCTACCACTGCAGTACAAAAATAGCTATGACAAAGTCCAAGACAGCAGTTCAAGTTGGCATGGAGCGAAACCAGGAGCCATAAGTCGAAACACGTTCAGAGCCAAAGCCGAAACGTAATCCAGTTGAGAAATGTTACAAAGGCGAAGCCAAAGGCCAGTCCAGTCGTTTAAATGGCACGAAACCAAATCGAAAGTCCACAACAAAAACTGCGGCTTCGCGAAAACGAAGCCGCGGCCGGCTTCGCCCCGGCACCCACCAGACACTGCACTAGCACGGCACCCACCAGACGCCACGGCCGCAACAGCAGGCGGGTGACCTGGGCGCGTCCGCAGGCACTACAGCCGGGCGCTGGACCTGAGCAGCTCTGTGCGGTTCGCCAACCTGCCGAACCGGGCGCAGCTGGAGCTGGCGCCGTCGGAGCGCTCGCGCGTGGACGGTGACGTCACGCTGGCGCTCCAGCTGCCCGACGGCCGCCGTCTGGTCAAGCAGTTCAGCTGCAACGGTGAGCGGTGCTGCCGGGAGGGGAGGTGTGGGGAGTGGTGCTGCCGGGAGGGGCGTGGTGAGCGGTGCTGCCGGGAAGGGCGTGGTAAGCGGTGCTGCCGGGAGGGGAGGCGTGGTGAGCGGTGCTACGGGGAGGGTAGGCGTGGTGAGCGGTGCTGCGGGGAGGGGAGGCGTGGTGAGCGGTGCTGCCAGGAGGGGAGGTGTGGGGAGCGGTGCTGGTGAAGGGGAGGCGTGGGGGCGGTGCTGCGGGGAGGGGAGACGTGGTGAGCAGTGCTGCCAGGAGGGGACGTGGGGAGCGGTGATGCCGGGAGGGGGCGCAGTGAGAGGTGCTGCCAAGAGGGAAGGTGTGGGGAGCGGTGCTGGCGGGAGGGGAGAAGGTGATGATGGGGTGGTGGGTGGGAGGTGTCCCGCTACGACGAGGACATAGACTCTTGAGACACAGGTATTGCTTTCCCCTCGCTGTAAAACTATTTTATGGTCACATTTGTAATCGGTTCTCATGTGGTAGCGCGCGACAGCCAATGACACTCGGTTGTAACCACATCTTAATCAAAGCCAGACGAGTTTCTCACGTTTGTGCACCACGTAGAGGTGCATGAGACCACACCCCTCCTCTTCACACGCGGCCACGTTGTCCTCGCCCGGCAGCCACGCTCTGGGAGGTGTTGGACGAGCAGGCGCTGCTGCCGGTCGGCGACCACTTGGCGCCGGTCTGCATCTACGCACGCCGCGAGGTGGCGGGCAGCGAGGCACTGCGCACCACCACCATCCGCAGTCTGGGGCTCACCGCCGGCAGCGCCATCCTGCGGTGAGACGGCGCCCGCGCCCGGGTCGCGCGCGCCGGGGGAGGGACGGCAGGGTACCGTGGTGGGGGTGGGGGGGGGGGGGGGGGCGGGCGGAGGAGTTTGGGGAAGGTGAGGCGGGTAGGGGTGGAGGGGATGAGCTGTGGTACTGGTGCTCGAGTTATTTTTGTGACTGCTGAGGCGGGTTTGAGTGGCTGCGAGTCAGGGAGGTGATCGTGGGATTTGTAGCGTTGTTAGATGTTTGGTTGTTGCAAGTTGCGATAGGAATTTTTATGTTGGTGGTCAATTTTTAGGTTTTGAAGGAGGGACGTCTTTTGACATTTCCCACCAATTTCTTACGTTAATAGTGTCTTTTTGCTCTTTCCTATGCGCTTGCGCTGTCTGCCACCACATGTAATCAATATTGATTTGTTTATTTGTTGAGTAGCTAGAAACGGTAACTTCAGGATTTGTGGGCAGGACAGGACAGGACTCTTCTTCATTTTCTTGTGTACTCATGAACAGGACAGCGCCTAGTGCGACTTTTGACTGATTGTCTTCTGCTGAGTGTGACATGTGAAATGCCTGTTGCCACCATGAGTTTATCAGCCTATATAACGCGATGTTGAGAATCAGTGTGGCATGTGAAATGCCTGCTGCTACCATGAGTTTATCAGCCTATATAACACGATATTGAGAATCAGTGTGTCATGCTTTGTGTTTGTTGGGTAACCACCATTATGTTGTTGAGTAACCACCAGTCTGCTGATGGGTAACCACCAGTCTGTTGATGGGTAGCTGCCAGTCTGTTGATGGGTAACTGTCAGTCTGTTGCTGGGTAGCTGCTAGTCTGTTGTTGGGTAACCACCAGTTTGTTGATGGATAACTGCCAGTCTGATGTTGGGTAACCACCAGTTTGTTGATGGATAACTGCCAGTCTGTTGATGGGTAACTGCCAGTCTGTTGATGGATAACCACTGGTCCATTCTGTTGATGGGTAACTGTCAGTCTGTTGTCTCACGCCTGGTCAACGACCACCCAACCCATGTGTTTAAACTGACGCCAAGTCTCTGTTCCCTGCTAGGTTCGCGCCTCGGCCCGCCAGCCAGGAGTCGGGTAGTCAAGCGCACGTGTCCGCACCCCTCGTCAAACCGCCCGCCCCTGAGCCGGACCAATCACCGCCACCCGCCGCCGCTACCAGCCCCGCCTTGCCCGCTGCCAGCCAACCACCGCAGCCGACGGCCGGCGCCGGCTCCACCCCGGCCGCCGTCAGCCAATCGCAGACGGCCGCGACGCCCGGGCATCGTGACGTCATTGGTGGCACTTCGCCGATCTGTGACCTCGCCCAGGCCAACAGCGATCCTGTGCTGGGCGCGACAGCGCCGGCCTCGGTGCTCTGTGACGTCATGGACAGCAAAGACAGGTGCGACCATGGTCCAGTGGATCACTATACCACCGGCAAGTCTTATCTAGACTCCACCAGCACCTAGCAGCACTGTGGGCTGTTCGTCCCATAGCCCACTTTTGCAGCAGCCATTGATAAAAATTAGCCATTTGGTGCGAGCCATTTAAATTTTTGCGGGTGGCTAGCGAGGGTGCTTAATATGAGTGTGCTGGAGATATGACAGCATTTTCGTTTTTGTTTTTGTTTTTTGCTAATCAGTGCAGACCACCACTGCTCATGCTGCGTTTCTTTTTCTTTTTCTTTTTACTTGTAAGTGTGTCGTGCAAAGAAGGCTAGGGCAACCTGGCGACAAGTTCAAACCAGAATGCTTCCCTTACTTCTGTTTCCATCGATGTTTTTTGTTTGTTTTCCACTCTGGTTGTGTTTTCATCCATTTCCAGCGACGTTCCCATCACTTTTGTACGACGGTGGCGATGACGCAACGACGATGACCCCCTGATGACGCGCGCCTTTCTCCGCAGCGACCTCGCCGGCGCCCCGAGTCTGACATCAGACGTGACGTCAGCCGGCAGCGTGACGTCAGACACCAGCGGCGAGGCGTTCCTGGTGGAGGGCGGCTCGCTGGGCAGCTGCCCAAGCAGCCGGGACAGCCTGCCCGGTCCGGAGGCGCCCGAGGAGAGGCTTGTCTTTGTAAGTTGTCCCGCGTGCTAAGCCGCTGGGCAGGAATCTTTCACTGCGCGGGCGTTGCCGTGATACATTGCGGTCGTTGAGAGAGCCAATTTGCGGTACAACGTGAGGACCATGGAGGCGAGGTGAAGTAAGCATGGTGTATCCTGAAGGCCGCTTCTGGTCAGAGGTCAGAGTCGCGGTGGCCTGGCTGGGCTCGTCTCAGACCTCCACATGGGAGGAGGCCCTGTCTCGGTTCCCATGGCCCCTGGGGGCCTCTACGGTCGCTGTAGTCCCGGGTGCTTCAGGAGAGGGTGGTGGGACATCGCGGGCCGCGTTCACTTTATGAAATGGGAGACGTAACAAGCCGAAAAAGCGTAATTATCATATGCATTGTATTCCTTCCATGTTGTTCAACCCACGTATGTTGCGTTTCTTCGTTGCAGTGTCCACGTATTTTGTATCGCTTCATTGTAGCGACAAATATGTGGTTGGATCACATCCTTTCTGAGCATTGTTTATCTGGGATGAGATTGCCTCTCAACGTGGCGTATTGGAGTATTGTACTGACACGCCAGTGCCCGCTGTGCATTGGTGGCCGCGCTCTGACTACCCTGTGCCGACCGCCGCTGGCCCTCTGTCCACCCTGTGCCGACTGCCGCTGGCCCTCTGTCCACCCTGTGCTGACCACCGCTGGCCCTCTGTCCACCCTGTGCCGACCACCGCTGGCCCTCTGTCCACCCTGTGCTGACTGCCGCTGGCCCTCTGTCCACCCTGTGCCGACTGCCGCTGGCCCTCTGTCCACCCTGTGCCGACTACCGCTGGCCCTCTGTCCACCCTGTGCTGACCACCGCTGGCCCTCTGTCCACCCTGTGCTGACTGCCGCTGGCCCTTTGTCCACTCTGTGCCGACCACCGCTGGCTCTCTGTCCACCCTGTGCTGACTGCCACTGGCCCTCTGTCCACCCTGTGCTGACCACCGCTGGCCCTTTGTCCACCCTGTGCTGACTGCCGCTGGCCCTCTGTCCACCCTGTGCTGACTGCCACTGGCCCTCTGTCCACCCTGTGCTGACCACCGCTGGCCCTCTGTCCACCCTGTGCTGACTGCCGCTGGCCCTCTGTCCACACTGTGCCGACCATCACTGGCCCTTTGCTCACCCTGTGCCGACCACCGCTGGCCCTCTGACCGGACTTCTCCGCCCGCCAGCTGGGGGAGCGGCAGGCGGTGGCATTTTCCCTTGATGACGTCACCGCGGTGCGAGCCGAGCTGCCAGATGACTTTTATGACGTCACGGAGGAGGACGCCCGCCGCCGCCTGAAGCAGCTGCGGCAAGAGGTGTAGGTACCGAGGGCTGACAGCAGGAGCAGGGGGGGGGGGGGGGGGGGTTCGCCGATCGTAAGGTTTTTTTCAGTGATGTCGTGGCTGTGAGTTGAGAGCTGTTTTGGTGTGAGAATGAGAACTGTTTTTCAGGGGATTGAATCTCAACCCCCTGAACTCCCTCGGATGTTAGAACCACCTATCCACAGCCAAGGATGCGAGTAAGGATGCGGAGTGTCTGGTCGAAGTAGATGATGTCGTAAATAATCACTTGTTAGATATCTTAACTCAAATCGCGGGACAAGCGGAGCCATTCTGTGGTAGTTCTAACATGTAGCGTAAGTCCCAGCGAGGCATCGCCATCCGGCGACGGAGCCTTAGAGCGAGACCCCCTCCCCCCCCCCCCTACACACACACACTGAAACAAAGTTTTACTCAGTAAGGAACCGCCCTCTCGTAACGCGGTCGTACCAAGGCGCTGTCCAGTCACACCGTAGCCTGACCGCTCCCCTCGCAGGGCATCGCTGGATGGCAGCCCGCTGCTGACCGCTGAGCGGCGGGAGGCCCGCCGCCAGGCTGACCTACTGACCCGGCTGTCGGCCAGCCGCCACAGCGTCGTCCGGGTCCAGTTCGCCGACAGGCTTGTGCTGCAGGTGCGTCCGCTGGACACGCGGGGCGGCTGAGTGGTTGTGGGGGGGGGGGGGGGGGGGGGCCTGCAATGGCTGGCCGTTCGCCGCCGGCTGCTGTGTCGGTGTCTGCGCACCACACAGCTCCCATGCGGAGCGCGATGCCGCTCGGTGCAGTGCGTGCAGCACGGCTGGACCGCCGGGCGGCGGATCGGACGGGGTCAGAGCGACGTAGTCTGGCAGGCGCAGGCGCGCAGCAGCGACTACGCTTCCGGGGCCTTGCGCACTGTCTGCACAACGGCAACTACGCTGCCGGGGCCTTGCGCACTGTCTGCGCGGCGGCTTCCGGGGCCTTGCGCACTGTCTGCACAACGGTAACTACGCTTCCGGGGCCTTACGCACTGTCTGCGCAGCGGCTTCCGGGGCCTTGCGCACTGTCTGCGCAACGGCAGCTACGCTTCCAGGGCCTTGCGCACTGTCTGCGCAACGGCAACTACGCTGCCGAGGCCTTACGCACCGTATACGCAGCGTACTGTAGCTCGCGTCTTGCCCCCTCACCCCCTCCCCCCCCCCTCGGTTGATATATTTGTGTTGTGGATACGGAGTATCTGCTGCTGTTCGGGTGACGTGTGGATCTCGCTCCTTTATGCTCTGCTGGGTGTGCTCTACGCATCTTCCGTCTTTTTATCAAGAAGAGGAGAGGGAGACATCGCCATTGCTGGCGATGAGACGGATGTTGAGTGTGTCTGCGTGTCCTCAGGGGATGTTCCTCTCCACTGACACGGTGGAGTCTGTGATGCGGTTTGTCGCCTCGTTTCTGGTGGACCCCACTGCCAAGTTCACGCTATGTAAGTATCGGGGTCGCCATGCTGGCTTCTGATTATCTCTGTAGGCTGCACCTTCCTGGGTGCCAGTTGACAGTTTGTTGGGGATCGCTAGTTAATGACTTTCCATTTCCTGACATTACCGCTAACCCTTACGTAACTAGTGTGGTAATAATAATAAAAAGATGACGTAATAACGATAATAACAGCGTAACTGTGTTAATACCCCACCTACTTTGAATTCTGATAGTCGCCTTTACTACACGCCTGTTCCAGAATTTTGCTAGCTTTTACCGACAGCTGCTCGTAGGCGTGCTCGGAACAAATTAGTGAGACGGGAGTAATCGCTGGGTCGTAATGAAGCATTTTTTTGTGTCTCGCCGTCATATGTTAAAGCACCTGCAGAAGACGTTTGCCATTCTGGTATGCATGGACCAGTACTTCGAGCTGGTGGCGGGCTGCTTCTGGCGTCTGTGATGACGTCACAAACGGCCGAGTGGCTCACGAGGGTTGTCACGCTTAAGTGGCAACGAGGACACGTGAATGTTCCGTGCGGCGAGATTCGAACCCGGGGCTGTCACTCGCTGACCCATTCTGCGTCTTCTCAGACACCACGCCGCCCAAGACAACGCTGCCGCAGTCGGCTCGGCTGTTCGAGGTCGACTGTATCCCGGCCGCTCTGGTGCACGTGGCCGCCGAGGGCGGCGCCACCGTCGCACTGAGCGACACTGTTCGTCAGCAGCTGAGCTCACCCACGGGCGCCGCGCATGCGCTGAAGAGACTCAGGTGAGTTAGCCGGTGCGTAGTTAGTCTGTGTGATATGGTCTTAAGTCAGTCATGAGGGAAGTGGCATATCAGTGATTTTGTTCATGAAGGGTCTTTAAAGAAATGTTGGTCAGAAGTAGTGTTCATCACTTTTGAACATTACGTGTCTGCAGACGTTAAGGTTCTTATTATTTGTTATAGGCCGGGGTAATGATTAGGGGCGATCGTATGACACTGTGGGTGGCATAATGGGATGCGGTCATCATGTGGGCGAGATATTTGTTCGTTGGGTGTGTTCACCCAGACCATCAGTGCAGAAATGACACCCATGCCCTCACCCGTTCGTGCATCTTTCAGGCCCGACTCCTCACAGGAGTCCGCCGACGCGTCGAGCTCCGGCTCCGGCTCCGGCTCCGGCTCCGGCTCCGGCTCCGGCTCCCGCTCCGGCTCCCGGCCCGGCTCCGGCACGGCTGCCGCGCGGAGCGGCGCCGCCGCCACCGTCGCCGGCTCCACCGAGCGACGGACCGTGCCCAAGTGGTTCAAGATGGCGCGGCAGTAGCGGCGCGGGTCGCCAGGCGTGGGCGGCGCCGGTGTGTTGGCTCGGCGCTGCTGGGAATGCTTCGTACTGCGCGCTGGCGCCATGGGCCGCTCGGCGTCGGACCTCGGGACGTCGCAGCCCTGCGCCGTGAGGTGTCTGTTTCTGGGCTTCCCCGGGACGCGAGCGGCGGGGAACCTCGGTCCTCGAAGGTCTCAGGGAGGCGGTAGCCGCCCGCGCGCGTGCATGAGTGTCTCGCGAGCCGCTGTAGTCGTGTCGCGTCAAGTGGTCGGAGTTGTCGCGAATGTCGTGTGTGTGGACATCGAAGCAGGGCTTGCCTCGACAAACACTGCGCTCTGTGCCGTCCTGTCCGGACACTGCTCTGTGATCTACATAGTCACGCGGCCCACATGGCAGTTTCACTGCTGTGGAATGTATCCGCCTGTCGTGACCCCAAGAATACCTGAACGCGCGGCGTGTCCGCTGCATCACGGCGCGGTCGTAGTTCGCGCGCCGCCCGATAGGCGGCGCTCGTGTTCTGCCGGGCCTAGCTCTTCGCAGCGCGGCGCCCGGCTGACGCTGGGGCCCGCCCCCAGTATCGACTGGGCCGGCGCTCACCGCCACGCCAGCTGAAAGCCCCTTCCCATCCCCACCTCATCCACCGACCAGAGGTGCGATGGCGTGCCGTGCCGCGGCCTCGGGAGACCGCCTTTCCGGTGATTCGACGGCCTCCACGCATTTCGCGGCACCTGGAGCCGCCTTAGCCTGGATCCGATTTGCCGTGAGGCCGCGGGCGAATAAATGCGTTGGCGTTACAGCGCTGGTGCATTTGGTGATTGGCTGGAGGCGGCGCCTGCGAGGTCGTGCGCAACGAGGGGAGGGGTCGTGAGGCGCGGCGACATGCACCTGCTTGGCGGCGGGGCTGGCCGTCAAGTCGTGGCAGACGTCAGGACAGCGCTGGGGAACGGGACGGGACGTGCAGTGTTTGCAGGCTTGTCCCTGCTCAGCAGCGGCGATCATGACAAATGAGAGTTTGTGGAGGGGGGGGGGGGGGGGGAGGGGGAGGAACAGGACGTGCCAGGAGGGGGGGGGGAGGGGGAGGAACAGGACGTGCCAGGAGGGTGGGGGAAGGGGAGGAACAGGACGTGCCAGGAGGGGGGGGAGGGGTCCGATGCTGCAGCAGGTTTGATACCAGCGGGCGACGTTTACGTCAATCCATGCGTGTTGACTGGCGTGTTATATTTTTTTTACCCTCGTTAATCTTTGAATGTTACCATTTTGTACTATCATCATGACCAGTTTTAACCACAAGAACAGCTTCACACCCACAGTACCCGCATCCACACTACACCAAGATACCCACTACCGCACGATACCCATGCCACCACAATACATACCCGCTTCGTACTCACAATAATGACCTGAGCCGGTGTCTACGGTCATTTGGATCATTAACCTGTTTGTGTTGGGTGTGGATAATTTTTTGCCTCTTGCGTGGGTCTGTCCGTCCTCATTCTATCCCGGGCGATAGTAATCCTTCCCGGGGCCCATGAATGAATGATGCGATATCGCCCCTAGTCGGCGCCACACCTGCATCCCGTGGGCCATTGATCATGGCTCATGTGTGGAAAAACTCGCGTTTTTTGCGACACGAGAATTATGTGATTCGTCACATGGGCCAAAAATACTCTTCCTCAGTGTCTCAGCCCCGCAGGTTTTCACGATTACGCTTGGGCGTCCAGCCTTAAGCTGTCAAGTCCAGACCTCATGGTTGCAAGTACTGACTGCACTTGCAGTTGGTACCCGAGTCCGGCACATACTGCAGCTCTGTTGGTACCTGAGTCCGGCACACACTGCAGTTCCGTTGGCACCTGAGTCCGGCACATACTGCAGCTCTGTTGGTACCTGAGTCCGGTGCCCACCGCAGCTCTGTTGGTACCTGAGTCCGGCACACACTGCAGTTCCGTTGGCACCTGAGTCCGGCACATACTGCAGCTCTGTTGGTACCTGAGTTCAGCACCCACCGCGGCTCTGTTGATACCTGAGTTCAGCACTCACCGCGGCTCTGTTGGCACCTGAGTCCCACACCCACTGCAGCTCTGTTGGTACCTGAGCCCGGTACCCACTGCGACTCTGTTCACACCTGAGTCCGGCACTCACCGCAGCTCCGTTGGTGTGTTTCAGCCTGCCCTGCTGCAGCCAACGCAGCGAGCCAGGCACCAATAGCCAAAGCAGCCCCGTACGCCCGGAAGCGTAGCCTAAACACGCACGCTGTGTTCGCCTTCGAATGATATTTTGACATCTTATGTAGTCCGGCGAAACTAGGCCTCTCGGCCGCTAATAACTCGAGATTTGTTGGTGGAGGACCCCGAACACAATATTTTCTAAATGAGCATGGGGAGAGGATAGTTTTTGAGAACGCTTTGGTCTCGATCACACCATTGTGTGTGGTGCGATGCAAGCCAATCTATCCCATAGGGATATCATTAGCTAGTGGGATTCGCTAAGAGCGACAGGGTAGCAATTCGTCCCCCTTTTCCGAGCCCCGCCCCCTCCCAGCAGTGTAACTCCGCGATCCACGCTGGTGGCTGGAACAGGAATCATGGTATCCAGAATTATCCATGACATTTATGGAAAAAAATGGAAGTGTTTGCTGTGAAAAGACCAATTTGCAGACGGGGACGGTCGGCTCCGTGCTGTTTGAAACATCAATAGCGGAGGATGAGGACTCTCGCGTGGTAATTGATTCGAATGTGCCGGCTGAAGGGACGCATAAAATAAAAACCGTAATATGTTTGAGCATATCTTTTCACATGGTCAAAAACGGCGTTTGATCTACAGTCGATTGAGTGCTTGCCAAACGACGCCTAAAAACGTGCAACCCAGATTTTTTCTAAGGCCGATTTTCTGCAACAACAGAACCCCCATGCATTTCAAAAACCCGTGCACAATGCGGACAGTCTCGCTGGGTCTTGTTTACCGCTGTGGGGAGTGCACGTGCCAGGTAGCAGACCGCAGTGCTGCACTTCGGGCACGTGGATCCCACTGGCTGGTCAACTGGCCAAGCAACGATGCAACGATGCAGCGATAACGATGCAAGAGCACGCGGCGTCCTATTTCGTGACAGCGGCCCTTTAAGGACAATCTGAGACTGATGTGGGACTTTTGCAGGTTAAGTCTTACTGTTTGCCCGTAGCTCCTTTGAAGTTGGACGTCTGGTAGTGTGGTGTTTTTGGGAAAGAATGTATTCAATGCTTTGCTCCTGCAAAGCTTTTGGCACAGATTAGCCGGCTGTGGCGTTGTGGCGTGTTAAATGATTAAATACAAGCACAAAGACGATTAGCTACGACACAAGGCAGGTCGTTTGCGATTATGAAACCAAGTAGAATACTTTCAAATCGCTACGTTGTAATTTACATAACTTCATGAAGGTCTGAAGGTCAGGCCTGGGCGGGACTCCCAGCTGATCCTCAATCCCAGGCTTCACCATTACCTTGACACCTAAAGGAGGAATGATTTGTCCCGCACTGCAGCAAAGGTGTATAGCGTCTAGCCTCCCTCGCACGAAGACAGTGATCGGCAGCATCTACAAAGGAAACATAAGTCTTGCCGTGGAGACGTCTTCATAGACCTGTGCTTCGGCTCTTCGTGCCTTCGGCTTCGGCTTCAGCTCTTCGTGCCTTCCTCGCACGAATACAGTGATCTGCAGCATCTACAAAGGAAACATAACAAGCCTGGCCGTGGAGACGTCTTCATAGACCTGTACTTCGGCTCTAATGTTAAGGTAAAATAGCTTGCCATCTGCATTTGAAATCCAACTTTTGATTTATAGCCCTAGCCTGTCCAGGCAGCGGTCCGAGCGGCTAAAATATGCATTATGCCGGCGCCATTGTCCTAACTAGGCTTCAGTGTTGCAAGCCCTGCATGTTTGAGTTCAGAGCTCAGCACATGCAGCTGTCTGAGAGATAGTCTGGCCCACTTAATCTAGATTTGCGCTTGTTTGACGAAGGCCCGTTGTCTAAGCTGGCACGCCGAAACACCGAAAAAGAGGCCGGAAGGCACGTGCCTGACGCATCGCTCGCTGAAGACCACCAGTGACATGGTGGAGAACGTGGACTCCTGCGTCCGGCTCGCTGAAGACCACCAGTGACATGGTGGAGAACGTGGACTCCTGCGTCCGGCTCGCTGAAGACCACCAGTGACATGGTGGAGAACGTGGACTCCTGCATCGGGCTCGCCGAAGACCACCAGTGACATGGTGGAGAACGTGGACTCGTGCATCGAGCTCGCCGAAGACCACCAGTGACATGGTGGAGAACGTGGACTCGTGCATCGGGCTCGCCGAAGACCACCAGTGACATGGTAGAGCACGTGGACTCGTGCATCGGGCTCGCCGAAGACCACCAGTGACATGGTGGAGAACGTGGACTCCTGCGTCCGGCTCGCCGAAGACCACCAGTGACATGGTGGAGAACGTGGACTCGTGCATCGGGCTCGCTGAAGACCACCAGTGACATGGTGGAGAACGTGGACTCCTACGTCGGGCTCGCTGAAGACCACCAGTGACATGGTGGAGAACGTGGACTCCTGCATCGGATGGTTAACAGGTAAATGCCAGTTTGCAAAACCGCAACAAAAAGCATTGAAAGAACGCATACGTGCCAAAACTCAGGCGCATTCGTCCCTCCAAGTGAACACATTGCATAGTCGCACAATACTCAACAGCCTTTGAAAAGCCAACCAAAAGCCCACAATGGCCAGTTCTTCCAAAACCTTCCAAAGCCCACAATATCCAGCAGCCTTCTCCGTCTTGACAGCTCTGTTGGTTAGAGAGCTCGCCTTCCGAGTCAACCTGCAGTGGCGGCATGGGTTCGAGTCGTTTAACGTGCTCGCGATTTGCCTCAGCCTGGAACGGCGTGCGACCGGTAGCAGAGGTCGCGCCAGGTGACCTTAAAGGGGGGACGAACCGTGGTGAGCGGTGGGATATGTTAAGCTTCGGCTGCAAAGCTCTGGCATTGACCCGGGAGTTTACAATCGGATAGTGGGATCGGGGCTCACGCCACAAGCACTGCTTAGGAAATCCGCTGAAGGAAGAAAAAATCAATTCAAAACGTTGTACTAGACATTTACATTCATAAAAATTAAAATCGCCTGATCAGAAGCTACCCTTCGCTACACCAGTCGTAGCGAGCGCGACAGATTTACCAAGTTTTCTCAGTCCAAGTATGCATGCAAGAGGTACGCTGTTTTCAGAAATCTGCCAAGCCATGCGAGGTTCGGATTCGTTCGGTATCTGCGGGCATAAATTGACTCCCCAAAGCCCTCCAATCTTCAAAACAGCGACTGTTAATGACACAGCGTGCTGAGCGTTAGCTAAGGATAGAATCGCCTACGTCCACGGAAGGGTGCTTTCAGTTCACACTCATGCCGGTTTTCTTTGGGTTTTTTTAGCGGGTCAGGGGCACCGGTTGCGGACATCAAGCTGCGTTATAATAATTCCTTGTGTGAAATGACATAAATTCTATAACCTCAGCCACTGCGGCTTGAGTAACTGGCGCGTTGCCTTCCGAGCAAAATGCTCCGCTAAGTAATTGCCGAGGCGGTTACCGCGAGTTTCTCCCACGATGTGAGCC